AGCAACACTTTATAACCACCGTGGTAGCAGCATTAACATTATTCGATTGGTATTTCGGTATCAACGTGGAATTGTGCAACACATTCCTTCCATTTCCGCATAAATATAGTTTGACGTTCGTATTACGGTGCCAAACAATTATTATAATTTTCAAGTCGATAGCAATGACTTACTTGGTTACTGAATTTTGAATAGTAAAAATTTACAATCCTCTCAAAATTTGTAACGGCCAGCCCAACGAAGAAATCTACTATGGTTTCAGACAATAATTGTTGCCCGTGTGAATAAAAGTAAATTTTAAGGAATGTCAATAGGTAGCTATAATATTAAAATTTAATCTACGGCAGAATATAATATGAGCACACTTTTAAATACTAAAATTAAATTCAAAGCACCTACAAGGGCTACAAATGTAAAATTGGGGTGAAAATATCAACAACAAATTGATTAACTTAGTATTATCATATTTATTTTTTATATGTACCATTATAGATACATTTGTAATGATGTTCGTTTCTAATATTATAATATTTTATTGGGATGACACTACATTTTTATGTTATTTAAATTACGAAAAATGTTTTACGCTTCCTGTTTTTTTTTTTTATTTCAATATTTTTAACACGTTATTGATTGGATTGAACAATGAACAACATGCTTACAAAACCGTTAGAATAACCATGGTAATCAAATTATTCAATGTATTTTGTTCTGAAAGTATATACGAATATTCCATAATTAAGTTACAGGTGGAAAGTTAAAACCATCCGTATTATTATACAGCCCGTTTGTAATATTGACCTATTAGAAATTAGAATTGGTTTTCAGAAATAATGGTTGCTATATACTATAATATTTTATATGCTAAGAGGTTTGATATTTTTATTAATTTTTTTTGTAAGTGTAAAATTATTCGGACGCAGTATGATATTAAAAAAAATAATAATTTGACTGGCCGATATCATATAACAGAGATACCATGGTTGAAATATACAAGGTTATTGCATATATACCCCTTCTTAATCAAATATTTGATGATAAAAACAAAAATGGTAGCGTAAAGGGAGTCAATAATAAACAAGTATGTAAGCTCGGGATTTTGAATTTGTTGATTTTTTTCAGCGTATTTTTGATGATAAGAAAAATTGATATTTGTGATATCCCTTTAAGCAGCCATTTTGTTTCTTATGATACAATCCGAGTCGATATGCATTGGACCTGTATATTTCAACCAAGAGAGATAGGTACTATTGATTTTTAAATAGGTACCCAAATGTTAAGTATAATTTTAGATTCTGAGTGGAACGATGAATGTATTGATTTTACAATGATGTGTGTTTTTATATTTTTTTAGATTCTGAGTGAAACGATGAATGTATTGACTTTACAATGATGTGTGTTTTTTTTTTATTTTTTTTTTTTGTGTCTGTGTACACGATAAGTAGTCGAAATAATGCTTCGATTTTCGACTTCAGTATATTGTTCGATTGGAAAGTGAATATCATTGGTGCATTGGGGAGGTCAAAATTTAAAACTCCCAGAACTTTTCAAAAGCGCCAAGAAAAACAAAAGAAAAATTAAGGAAAAACGGTAATTTTTACGCAAAATCGATTTTTCAGAAAATTGAATTTGGTTTTTGGTGTAACTTTAAAACAAATGACCGTAGATACATGAAATTTTCACTGGTTGTTTATATTTGCATTTTATATACACGATAACATTTTCAAAATATTTTGATTTATTTTGAACTGTTTAGGGACATTTTCATTTTTCATTTTTTTTTAGTTTTTTTTCTAGAAATATCAATAAAATATTATTTGTTGGTTAAAAAAACTTGAAAATTTAATAGAAGGCTCCTAGTATATTGTTTCAAAGGCAGATGAAAAATATTAAAAATCGTTAGTCACAGTTTTTTTTTATAAGCATTTAAGTTCAAAAATTGACAAAATATGAAAAAATCACAAAAATTTGCAAATTATTTTGAGTTAAAAATTCGTAAAAATTTTTCTTTTTAAATCTAAGATTTTAAAATGAAATACAAGATTACTCATAAGTTTGTCTACCTTTATCAAAAAAAAATCTGTAGACAGTCAAATTAAATTTTTATGAGCGTTTGAAATTCAAATTTTTACAACATTGGATGTTCACTCGATTTCTCATGTAGCGATTTCCTTATTTTGTTGTTATTCATAAACCAATAACTATAGATACATAACAATTTTACTGAATGTTTATATTTTTATTTTTTATACACCATAAAAATTTGAAAATATTTTGACTCTTTTTGAGCTGTTTACGGATATTTTCATTTTTCAATTTTTTTAGTTTTTTTTTCTATGAATATCAATAAAGTTTTATCTGTTGGGCCAAAAAGTGTAAAAATTTAATACAAGGTTCCTGATATATTGTTACAGTAGCAATTGAAAAATATTAAAAATACATGGGCACAATTTTTTTTTATAAGTATTTAAACATCGAATTTTGACAGAATTTTTCAAAATCTCGAAAATTATTAATCATCGTAATTAATAAATTATAAAATGTTCAGTTTTTACAGCTAAGGATTGAAAATTTAAAACAAGATTCTGGAGTAAGTAGTTAATTCTCTCACCGAAAAATCTAAAAAATATACAATCACAGTTTATTTTTATAGTCATTTTATGTTCAAATTTTTACGAAATTACATATTAAAAAACCTAGTTATTTTGTTGTGATTATATAATATTATTCGTATGTATCACGGTTTTTGTTGATGTATAACGCGTTATAAGTATCTAATGGATATTGTGATATGATTAATTTGGAATTTATTATAGGTACCTATTATAGGTCAATTTTTTGTTTAATACCATAGATATGTATATAATATGTCTTATACATAGACTGACATACCGTCACCGCTCAGAATCGTTTTTCTTATACAATGATATTATATCATTGAATTCAAATTTAATACCATCCATTATACAGTGACCCACTTGTAACCTACTGTACAGCAGAGCGACACCCACTTGCCCGCCTTTTTCTTTTTAAATCTAAGATTTTAAAATGTAATACAAGATTCCTTATAAGATTATCTACATTTATCAAAAAAAAAATGTCTATAAGAAAGTCAAATTAAATTTTTATGAGCGTTTGAAATTCAAATTTTTACAACATTGGATATTCACTCGATTTCTCATGTAGCGATTTCCTTATTTTGTTGTAATTCAAAAACGAATAACTGTAGATACATGGAAATTTCACTAAATTTTTATATTAGCATTTACTATACCCAATACAGTTTTGAAAATATTTTGACTCTTTTTGAGCTGTTTACGGACATTTTCAGTTTTCAATTTTTTTAGTTTTTTTTTTCTATAAATATCAATAAAGTTTTATCTGTTGGGCTAAAAAGTGTAAAAATTTAATACAAGGTTCCTGATATATTGTTACAGTAGCAATTGAAAAATATTAAAAATACACAGGCACAATTTTTTTTTATAAGCGTTTAAAGATCGAATTATGACAAAATTTATCAAAATCTTGAAAATTATCAATCATTGTAGTTAATAAATTTATAAATTATAAAATGTTCAGTTTTTATAGCAAAGGATTGCAAATTTAAAACAAAGGTTCTCATAAATAGTTCATACTGTAACCAAAATATCTAAAAAATATATGAACACAGTTATTTTTTACAGACATTTTAAATTCAAATTTGGACGAAATTACATATTAAAAAACCTAGAATAACTATTTTAGTTATTTTGTTGTGATTGAATAATATTATTCGTGGGTACTTGAAACTTCTAAAGTGTACTATTATATATCTATGATATTATCACGGTTTTTGTTGATGTATAACGCGTTAGAAGTACCTGATGGATATTGTGATATGATTAATTTGGAATTTATTAAATTTATGCCTATTATAGGTCAATGTTTTGTTTAATACCATTATAGTCTATAGATATGTATATAATATGTCTTATACCTATATTGACATACCGTCTCCGCTCAGAATCGTTTTTCTTATACAATGAAAATATATCGTTGAATTCAAATTTAATATCATCCATTATACAGTGACCCACTTGTAACCTACTGTACAGCAGAGCGATACCCACTTACCCACCTTTTTTTAAATTTTTTTTTAAATTTTTTAATTTTTTATTCTTAAACAGAATGATGTCAATAAGTTCTGTTTTTTTTTTTTTTTTTTTTTTTTTTATCAATGAAAGAAAAGAAATTAAGAAATAAAGATAAGAAAAGAGAATTTTTTTTTTGGGAAAGAAAAAATAAAAAATAAAAGACAAAACCAAGCCTGAAGCCAAGATGATAATTTCAAGCCCATTTTGTTTTCCGTCATACTTTAAGAGCATGTGAAAGACACAAAGAAAACACATGCAATATACTGTAGATGAATAATAAATAATTAATTTAACTACGGGTCAACCGGCTTATAATTTATTAGTTTATAATTAAAATTTTACATAGGTAAGATAAAAGTTTACAATGTACATAAATACATGGTACATAAGTTAATAAATACAATATATAAATGATTAATAATTGTCATAATTACTACAATTTTACATAATAATTTCCATTTTACATAACATAGTAATTTTCATTTTTCATAACAACATTTTCATTTTATATAACACAAAAATTTTCATTTTTCATAACATATCAAATTACAATAATATTAATACAATAATATTTAATATCTCCAATGACATTACAGACCAGTATATATTAATAAGTGTTTAACTTAGTCAAACTAAGTTCTGTTTTTTTTTTTTTTTTTTTTTATCAATGAAAGAAAAGAAATTAAGAAATAAAGATAAGAAAAGAGAATTTTATTTTTGGGAAAGAAAAATTTAAAAATAAAAGATAAAACCAAGCCAAGATGATAAGTCCAAGCCTATTTTGTTTTGCGTCATACTTTAAGAGCATGTGAAATACACAAAGAAAACACATGCAATATACTGTAGATGAATAATAATTAATTAAATTCACTGCGGGTCAACCGGATCGGTGTTATAGTTTGAAAGAAGATTAACACAGTGAGAATAAGCATCAAGCACCTTGCTATGCATGTTGGAACGGTTTTCTAGATTAGTACAATATTCAGAACGTAGGGCGGGAGGAAGGCACTGTTCTTTCTTCAAGTAATATCTGGATGCAGAATTAACCGAAACAAAAGCTGCTTCATAGGCTAAAGCCTTTGCCACTGATAATCCGTTTATGTGATTAAATATTAATTTCGGATTCTTTTTAATACTGTACAATGTGTGATACTTCCTTTTAACTGAATTGGTAATAGCTTTGACAACAGTTTTACTGAAAAGGGATAAAGTTGTACCCCAAAAACCTCTCTTTGATCTTGATTTCATACCGTTAATGCCTGTGTAATATTCTTTTATTCTGACGTCCAAGGGTTTAATTTGTAAATCACATGACCCACGTATTGTGGGAAGTATTGGCTTATAGCTCAGAGCCTCATTTTCATCACCTCGAGGTTTGTCAATAAGATATTCAGTTATATTTGCAGCAAGATAATAAAAATCCAGCATAGCGTAATAGTTACTAAATATATCGGCGGATTTAATAATGATTAGGTCTTCATAAAGTAATTTTGCATCATTAACAGCAGCAGAATAATTCTTACATTCAGGTTCAAATTGAAGATGTTTCGTGATACTATCAGGGATAAAAATATTACCCAGAGAAGAGAAAAACTCAACACCTTTTATGACTTTAGTTCCTATAGAAGATCCATCGGAACAGGATATTGCGTTCAAAAGTGCACCCAATTCAGTCATATTATCGGCAAATGAAGAAGAGGACAAAGACACCATAGAGAAACAAACTAGTATTAAAATCATATGATTATTATACGTAGCCATTGTGTACAACTAACGGGATAAATTGTTGATATAATTACTTAAAATTATTGACAGATGTAAAAAAATAATATTAATACGCCCAAGTACCTATTAATTAATACTCGGTGGATAGAAATGCTAAAACGGCGGTATTATAACTTAGATAATTAATCAGGTTTTAATTATTTTTTTTAACCATGTGACATGAGATTTTTGTGCAAAAACCAATAAAAAAAAAAAGAAAAGCTGGTAAGTAATGTTTCGCCCACCTGCAACCAAATATCTAGCTGCGGCCCGCTGTGTCCGGTTCAAAAAATAAAAACTGAGGCAAAGTGAAAATAAAACACCACAAGAAACAAGGAGTTTTAGAAACTGGTAAAATAAGAATTATTATTTAATTTAAAATTCGGAACAGTTATTATTTTATTTTATTTAGCACGACTAAAATGTCACTTATTATATACTATGGTCATATAATACTATACCATAGAAAACGAACAACAAAATTAATTACGCTAAACACTTACAACAACGCGGCGGGTACAATAGTTGATTTTCTTACTGGTACTTCCATTTGAATTGTTGATTGTAGTTATGTGTGTTACGTAGTTGTACAGGATTCTTTCTGGGAGTTGTTGGTAGGGTGATCAATCTCCCAAAGATGATCCAGTGAAGAATTTTCCTTCTTGATTGAATTTAGATGAGAGAAAAATTTTAAAAATGTTCCTAAAAATGTTTAATTGTTTTTCTTTTTCTTCTAAGTATCTTTTTTAACGTACACCACTACTACAGTTGAAATGATGGAAGTACTTTGAATAAAACCACGAAGATGATTTTAATAATTGTATTTTATTTAAGTAAAATAATATTGCAAATAATTTCCAAGTCCAATATATGTAATTTAGTTAAAACTGTTGTAAGCGAGATGTGACCAAGTATTTAGCTTTAGTGACTGTTCTAATTGAGGCTGGTTGTTCGTCTGATGAACGTTTGTCCATCAGCGTATTTCGTCGGGTATAGTCCTATCAGATCCCTACTATGATTTTTTAGTATAAAAATGCTGCATACGTCTGAGATCATTCCGGACGTCTTTCGTGTAATCATGTTATTTACGGAATATATATTTTGTACAAAGACATGATTTGTGTACTGCTATTAATTTTATCTAGAATACGATTTAAATAAAATGCATATACATAATATCACGTGCTCGATGTACACGCTTGGTGGGCGTCATTGATATTATTATTATTATTACATCTATTGATGACCTCTGCCTAGGGTCAGGCGCTCGCTACAATATTTACTGCAGTGTTTGGAAAGAACGTCGTTCACGTTCATGTATAGCGAACGATACGTGAACGTCATTCGTTTTTTGCAAATAGAACGTGAACGTTGAACGACGTTTATATTTTTAATGAATTTGATCGATTTTTAAGACGTTCAATTTATTTACCATTTAATACCCAATGAACGCGTTCGTTTTTTAAAAGAACGTGAACGTGAATGCGTTCGTTTGAAAAAAACACGAACGTGAATGTGGACGAGTTCCTTCTTTAACTACTGAACATGAACGTGAACGTGAACGTGAACGAGTTACTTCTTTAACTACTGAACATGAACGTGAACGAGTTCATTTTTTTAGTGAACGTTCCGAACACTGGTATTTAGATATATTATTTGGTCACGTAGTCACAGCTCGCTACAACTGGTTTAACATACGTATAAGTAGGTACATGTAAGTACTAAGTTATAGTATTTCATTATCACGAATTCAAAATTAAGAATCAAAATTGTGTGCACAAATTAAACTTAATCTTAACATTTGCTGGGTGTTATAAATGGATAACTTCCCAATCCTATTATTCGCCGTTAATTTTATATTCTTTCCTTTATCAAATCTAATTATTGTACAAATAACTGTATAGATTGTAGATATATTTTAAATAATAAAAAAAAAAAAAAAAATCTTAACATCTAAATTTAGAAAAAATATGATAAATGTTATAAAAATATACTCCTGACCAGTTCATGATGTTTAAAAAAGATAACTGATGACATAATATAACCTTAACCTTGATAATATAATATTATTATCTTTAGAGTAAAAATCTATTGCAACATTTAAATAGTTTGAATCGTAGGTACAAATAAATAATGAAATCACATACCCGGAGCAAGCTAGAAATTAGGTTTAAGATGCTTACCAAAAAAATATTAAAAATGTATTATAGGTAGATAGTGTATAATATTATATTTACATAATTTGAGGTTTTTTAGTTTTAAGGGCATATTTCATAAAGTCTCAAATTTAAAATTGTTTGGAGCATATTATTTTAATGATTAATGGTCCCACATTTTAAGATCCAAGCCTTAAATTAACCACATAGGAAATAAAATCGATTTTTATTTCTAAAGAGTATGGATTGTTGTTTCAAAATGTATCATTTATCATTCCATAAATCATAAATGTCAGTTTCTTGCAAATAGCAATTTTTAAATATTTTGAAAAATTAATTACTGTGTATTATTCAAGAGTCGAAAAATAATATGTGCTCTAACTGCCAACTTCAGTTTATTATTTTAAATATAGATACTTTTTCGGTTTATCATAACAAACATTTTCCTCAAAATTTGTTCGTTCAAAAGTTTAGCTGTTCTGTTGCTGAAAGTTGATTTCATAATAATTATTTTTTTGTCAAAATAACAGACCAAAATTTAATTTCAGTAAAATCAAGAATATATTTAAAAGTATTATGAACTACAATTGGTGACTAAAATAATATTAGAAAAAGGTTTTTTGATATTCAATATTATAAATACAATTTCTGACAATCACATAGGTAGTTACTATTAAATATTATCACTATATTAATACGTTTTTGAATTAAATTTTCAAATAAATATTTTTTTTTAATTTTGTTGTTTGGAAAATTGTATCAATTCATTAAGAACAATTTTATTCCGTGGTTTGAAATAATGCACTTGTGTTATATCTGATACATTAAATTATATGCATTTGATAAACATTCCTATTTTAGAGTATTGGACATGGAACATATAAATTCAAATCCTCCTAAACACGTTATATGAATTTCAGATGAATACCAAAATAATACAGCTGTTTACATTATAAATTAAAAATAATTATTGTTTGTGTTTTGATGTTGTAAATCATTGCTATTTTATTTTAATTTATTTTAAATCGAATTTTTCAGTTGGATGGAGTGCGGGTAAAAATTATTAAGTAAAAATTAAGATTTTATTTTTTTACAGATTCTTGTGGATTTTAGGGGTCTACATTTATTTTAATTTGGAATTTCATCATGTTACATTGGAGAGAAAAATAAAAATATTGATTATGCTATTTTTATCCTATTGTGAACACTATTATTATCAATACTTTATTATATTTAATGTTTATTATTTTTTATCGAAATGTTACTTCTTGAGTTCAAAATATACACAATTAAATAAAATAATTGACGAGACTGTCAAATAATGTATATTTATTTATTTAAAAAAGAAAAGTATTAAAGTTTTTTGTTACCAATTATTTATGATGTGACAATAATTTGTATTATAGTCCTTTATGATTTATTATATTATAGAAATTAATAAGATCAATTCAGTAAATTGCAAGTTGTTTCAGCATTTCATCAGTAAATCGTGACCCAGAGAAAACATGTACCTATACATTAACGTGTAGCTCCGTAATAATGACATATTTAAAGGAGAATAAGTAAAATTAAATTTACCCCAAACGAAATAAGTCAAACAATAAATTCTAAAAGTATGTACGTATTTAAATTTTTATCACTTGAGATACATTTTTGACTAAAGAATCATAATATAGAGAATTGTAGGGTCAACTCATCGAAACAAATATATTTGGGAGTCGTGGATCAAAAAAAGGTTGCTCACTACTGAATAAATCCATGAATAAATAATAGTTAACACTATATTTTAACTTTTGTATGTTCTGAATTGTTTTTTAGTTTCACAAAAGTAATGTTTTTGACTTATTCCCTTTTACCCACGCACCGTCCAATTTATTGTGTGTTTCAAATTGAAAATAAAAAAATACAATACAATAAAATATTTTTTGAACAATTCTGAAGGAATTTAATACACAATCCGAAAAGAGATTACTGTTTATTTCATTTCAAACGAGTTACTGAAAAACTCTCAACATTTGGCCAAATATAGTAAGATCTAAATTTATTTTCCCATAAAAATATTTCAATGTACAAAAATAATATACTTGGTAACTGGTAAGACATCGTGTATAAACGCTGGACATTGCGTTGATTCACTTCACTCAGATCTGTGAGCTAAGTAACAACGATAATACAATTCGACAAAATATGTCTATATAAGATGTTTACTTTTTATTCAAACTTAAAATATATAATTTTATCTATATTAAGAAATAGTTGTACTGACATTTAAATAATTAAATGTAAATATTGTTTTTGATTTTATAACAAAATTTCCGGCCCTCATTGTGTAATTTAAAAACTATATTTCTATAATAGATGTCACGTATTTTATTTGCCCAAACATTGAAGATCGAACCAGAGAGTATGTAACACATCCAGTCACCTCACTCCGTTCGAATTAATTTAGTGTTTTGTAGAAAAATTGATAGAGGTTAGGAGATTTGAGTGAGCGTGTTGTCTTTTTTAGTGCTATTAATCGTCGAGCTCTGAAGAGTAGGTCTAATGGGTTTTTACCGTTTCCATTATTTTTCTTTGAAAATAATGAGAATTTTCCAATTTGTACATGGACATTTATATTATGGCATAGCTGTATTTTCCGATCAATAACATATTATATACTCGTATACTCTCACGTGGCCAGGTGAAACTTTTTTATTACTGTAAAAAGTGTTGATTCAAAAGCCGAACAGAATGATACTTTTGTATCTAACACCAGAAAACAAGGTGTTCAGGGGCAAAGAAAAATAATTGTTCAGGGCTCTCATGTATCAGGAGTGCTCCTAAACTGAAATTATATTT